TTGCTGGCTGGGGTTAAACCACAACACCTGCATGCAAGGACAGAAAAGACCCTTTCAGTAGCAGCCAAATCTTGAAAGGTGAAGATAAGCCTTCAGAGGGAACTTTATTAAAAAAACTCATGGGACAATCAAATTGGAATCGAAATGAAATAATGTGGAAGAACTTCAAAGTCAACAGGATAAGACCCTTAACTGTCCTCTATCATCACCTTTCCTTCCAAGGCTACCATAAACTAACATTCCATAGCAAATGCTGGTTATGAAATTTTGATCAAAGGATTTTCCACTCCTTTTTGACATTTGGTCAAATCTTCTTTGACAGAAAAATATCCGTTAACTTTTTTTCACATTTGAAATGAAGCATAAAAGCTCACTGAAACTTACTGTCTCGAATCTACATTTTAGATAAAAAAGGAAAGTTTCACTTTGGTAAAACCTGTCAAAAGCTTCTGTTTTGACACAGTTAAATGAAAAAAATTGATCAGTATGTTATCTTGATATTCAACACCTCATCCCAATTTGGAATGAATACAAATTTAGAAGGAGTACTGTCACATTCTCCAGAATAAAAATCCATTTTTCTGAAATGTCCTGTTCAGATTTTCTCTACATAACTGACCACGTACCTAATTTTCTTGTTTGACTGATTACAAACCTTGCATTCTTGGCTCAGCACGTTATGTTGTTAGAGTCATGCACGGAATTAAAACTGGCACCCTATGATAATTCTGGCACTTTCTGGTTAGAGGAAAAAGTGGCTGCATTTTCTTGTTTGACTGATTACAAACCTTGGATTCTTGGCTCAGTACGTTATGTTGTTAGAGTCATGCATGGAAGAATTAAAACTGGCACCCTGTGATAATTCTGGCACTTTATGGTTAGAGGAAAAAGTGGCTGTTAGCACAGCACATTGAACGAATACCTTTAGATAAAGTCTGGATTAAAAAAAAGTCACTATGGGTTTGGAATACATGAAATCAGATCACCTGTGGCACAGTGAGTTTAGGGAGAAACAGGAAAGCTGTATGAAAAGAATTTTTTTCTAAAAAGTAGATCAAGTGTTTCACCTCCTAACCTGGACGCCCCAGTGTTACTTGGGCCTTTCTCTGGCTGCAAGGGTGGTGGCTAATTTGGAAATGGCTGCAAGGCTGCAACTCGGGATCACCGCAGTATTGCTGGGGAGGGGGCTGTGCCTGAAGAGAAACTGGACGAGCCATTTCTGTCGCTAAACTGTTGCTTTGCTGAATTGTGCATCAGAGACTATTAAGTTGTAAAGCTATTTCTTTATTTCACACACGGCCTTTAGCTTCAAAGAAGGTAGAAGGGTACAGTTATCCTGGACCCCTGCTTCCCCCAGAGCAAGGCTTTTCCAGGCTTTTCACTCAGCACTTGCTCGTGTTCATGAGATGAGCAAAGTGCAGTGGCCGACGGTGGCAGGGCACATTGTGATAGGACACCAAGCTAGCCAGTGTTCCCTAGACATCCCAAAACTTACCTCCCTGATTTCTTTGATTTTGGAACCTCCTTTTCCTATAAGGGATCCACACTGACTTGCCGGGACGACGAGCCGCAGTGTTACGGGTGGTTTGCTTGTCACCGTGCTGTTTGTCATTGAAGCGTTTATGTCCTGTAATCACAACATCAGTGAGAATTAGCGGAGGATTTGTCATTCCTGGTAAGCGCTGAAGGGCTCAGAGCAAATGCCCGGGCTGTTCCTGGAGACCTGGGGAGCGTGCAACCAGTCGTGGTTTGTTTCTGTTGCAGGTAAAGCCATCGGCACTGCCGGTGACATGCCGTAAGCACGAACCGCAGAAGCGGCTTGTGCCCGAGGAACCCTTTTGCTGTCTGGCATTGCAGGTCCACGCTGCAGGACCCGAGGACAGTCTTTGAGGTAAGACTAGGGGAAGGAGGTGATATCTGTCATTAAACCAGCCGAAGCAGATGGAAAAGACAAAGAGGCTTTTGAGTTCACAGACTCCCAAATCCTGATTTGGTCTCTTTTCCACCATCTCAATTAGAACATTTCTACTATATGATGTCTTTACATTTCATGCAATTTCTTGTCAGGTTTGATATGAAGAAAAAACGTTAAAAAAGGGAATGATAAAGAATCTGTGAATAATCTGAAGAAGAGAAAATCAGATTATTTTGATAAATATTTTGCTGTCCCCCAGGTTTAATTTCTCTTTTGTAGCAGATCCACAAGTATTCATAGTGCTACATAATTTCTAAAATCTTTTCCGTCACAGGTATGTAACCAGAGCACAAAGAGCTCAGCAGAACAACAATCACCTGTATCCAGGTAATGTAACCTATATCCTTGTATCTCATTATCCAATGAGACTACATTATACATTCTCATGAGCATTACAATATACTACTGGTTGCAAGATTTACACTGTTTTAAATATATTTTATTTGTTCAAAATCTTCTAGGCAAGACAAAACAATCCCTCTAAAGTCTTCATCGCAGAGGAAAAGATAAAGCTTATCTTCCCACAGATTGTTGGGATGCTGTTGAGAGCACTTAGGGTCACAAAAAAAAAGGCGCCACAAGCTGCATGGCACCTGTCCAGCAACTCATGAGACTCGCAATGTGGTTTGCTAACAGGAGCCATGAGCTGAAAAGATCATCTCATCCACCTGTGAGGTGGCATGGCACACCTATTACATCCTTCACAGAAATGTGACCCAAAAGATTAGGACGGGAATGACAGAAAACATGCATTTCGTATTCCTTTAACTCATTTATGATGCAACAAGAGTTCCAGCAGACAGAATTGATGTGATTCCCTACATTCTCGCTTATCAAGACTACCACCTGTTTAAAAACAAGAAGTGCCTATACTGTGGGATCAGGACCCCATATTAGTAAAAAAAGAAAATACTTTAAACAACTCTTCACGTCTCATTGAACTGGTGCAGGAGCTCAGTGACACCAGCACTGATTCCTACAGTTCCTCCACATTTGTGATGGCGGTATTCTTCCATCCGAGAAAACGTTTGGTGTGACCTTGCTTAGCTCAAAAGAGAAGAAAAAAAATCTTGAACGGAGTGAAGCATTGCTGCATGCCACAAGTCAGCTATCAAATCATTCCTCTGCCAGCCAGTAACTCACATTTTGTTTAGTGCCCGTGTCAGTGAGAGATTGCAATCCAAAATAAAACAAGAGGGATAACAGAATTCTGCAGCACCCATATATCTGAACTAAAGCCCAAGTCATACCGATTTTTCAGCTGGAAGATGCCATCATCTCACTATATCATGTTTGTGTCAGGTCGAGGCGCACCATCATCCAGATGTAGGTAAATAACCCTCTTCAGCCACCCAGCACGACCCTGATAATGTCTCCTACTGTCATATCATATCTGGCCTGGCCTCAAAGCCTTCACTGCACTTACTGCTTTCAAAAGCACTTCACAAGAATTGGAAGCCGCTATTCTCTTTATTTTCTCCTCATCATTTAAAAAGAGCAAAACCTAAATATGCAGGCTCAGCAGCACACCCCTAAAGGCATCAGTCCAGCTTAAAAACACAACAAAAGAGAAATGAACAGGAAAAAATCCCCTCCAAAACTGCAGGCTCCCAAGTAGGGTTGGTTGGAAACTTTCTCACAGAACAGTCATCTTTCAAACTGGGAGATTCCTATTTCTTTAACTTCTTACTTTCTGTGGCACTGCACCCATTTCCTTAGGGCTCTGGCAGACACAAGAGCTGGACCTTGCATGGCTTTCTGCCCGCTTGCATGGGCTGCTCCTCAGCCAGGATCGGCTAACTGGGAGCCTGGAAGTGGTGGGAGAGCCAGCTCCCAGTGTTGATGCCTTGCAGCATCCCTTGCTCTGAGCATCCCAAAGTCACAGTGTCTAAGGCTTCCCAAGGCAGCTCAGAAATCTACCAAACCTCTGGGGAAAAAACATATCAAAATTCTTCTTTACTGGTTTCTAAATGAAATGTTAAACCTGCCAATTTCCACAGCAAGTACGAGTCTGTGAGGTGGTCCCTCGCTTGGTAATGACCACCACAGGATTTACCTTAGTTGCAGCAGCAGGAGTCAGTATACGTCAAAAAGGTATTACCTCAATTGCTTTTATTACCTTGCCTTTCTCTCCTCCCTATTCCTAGAGCTGAGCAATTTCTTCATAAATGTTTGCAGATGAACAAGGATTCCACCAAACTTTTTCTTATTTATTTGGAGAAGCTCTGGCCACTGAACTCTGTCTGCTGGCCTTTCCAACATTTAACTACCACGTGCTTCCAGCGGATTATGCATATTTATACCCAAAAGCAGATCTGCCCCACTTGCCAGTGAACTTACAGCTGCATTTCTTGGGTCTCAGCCTCCAGCCTGGGAATCACTGCTCTAAAATGTCCTCTCTTACAACTCCAGTGGTCTGCCTGGGTTAGCGCCATTTTTAAACAACTCTCTTTTTCCTCGGCAGTGAATACTTTAGTTGTTTATGTAATTACCTACCTAGCTTGTAAATTCATCATCAGGCTGCTAGAAAATCAACATTTATTAGGAAAGTTGTCAAAGCAGAGTGATATAAGGCCGTAGAGCAACAGCACAGAGAACACTCCTCCAGATCTTTCTTTTTTTTCTATCAATATCTGATGCATTTTGAGATTTTTGCTAACATTAGAAAAGCATTCCAGGGCTCCCGTGTCTACCTAGACCTGCTTATCCTCAGCTATACAGCTGTAGGGTTGAAATTAAAGGTTCAAGGGTTTCAAGTCAAAATGCTTCATGCAGGCATGCATAACAAATACCAAAAAATCCCTCAAAGCAGCAGTCTCACACTTGCATCTTTTTTGTTCTGCTTGAAGGTAGCTGCGATAACCAGAGCTGGGCCAGGCACTGTCTGCTCTGGGATTTTTAATTTTTTAAATGGCTGAAGAAATCTCCAACAAAAAGATATGCATGAAACATAATGTTTGGTAGCTAGCTCATTTGTAATTTCTGAAACAGCACTTTATTTTGCCTCCAAAGTGTTACAGTTACCTCATTTTATTGACAGGGGTAATTATAGGAAACCTAACTGGTTATATGAGACATTTTTCTTTACCGCTTTTCTTTTAAATATACCAGAAGGCAATTATATTACAACTAAATACAGATATTTCAGAATATATAATCACAGTACCTGATCTGCAGGGAGTGCCAATACCCTTTGCTAATACCCACACGAAGAGTCCAGACTACCCTCTAAAATCTACAAGGGTAAATATGCACAAAATCCAGTCAGATGTCTGAATTTCAGATTTCTTTGCTTGTTGCCTATATCACTTTCAAAGACTATGTCGTGGTGGGTGGTGGGGTGGGGATCTGCTGCTGTGCAGTGTTTGATGTTTTTATGAGAAACGCAGCATTATTTCCACTGGGTACTCGTTTTGGTGGGAACTGTAAGGGATTATATATGTTAATGATTCTCTCAGCATTTTTCAGGATAAGGCCCTAAGCAGAACATGTTTTTCATGTACAGAGCAGAGAGACTGCTCTCTCCAGGTCTCCGTGGATTGGAGGGTATAGTACCATCTATGAAGCTACCTCATAAGCTAGAAGAAACAGGGATTGGTACGAGACGGGTAGGAGATAAAGCTGAGAAAGAGATGACAACAGGTCATTTTAAAATCAGCCTGGACAGAACTACTTGTGTGGTCCTGCAGGATTCAATCTGAAAATCATTATTATCTCATTAAAAACTGGTAAGGAAAAAAAAATTAGCGTTCTTATAAAATGTACCATGCCAGAAAATCAGGGTACTTCATCAACATGTTGAAAGATTGGAATATCACACAGGAAGATCTGAGAACCCATGAAGAATGGGAGAAATATAAATAGGATTAACATTTGCAGTCTTAAAAAAAAAGACCATTTGTCTGGGGGCTGACAGGAATATCTGCCGAGAACAACGAGGTTCCCTCTGAAAACACCTGAGCAGGAGCTGGGGATACGGGCCAGGCACAGCACGGTTGTGTGTAAAACACTACACTGGTAGGAGGCGAGGCATTATCCAGCAGCGGCAGGGATATGTTAGCATCATAACTAGGACAGGGGACTGTTAGCTCCATTAAATAAGCCCTTGTGGAACTTCATTTGCAACCTGTCCACAATTAACATGCACATTTAACATAAACGGTAACTGGAAAAAGGTACAAAGGGACTACTAGAGTCACGAGAGGGGTGGGGAATGCATCCTCTGAAAGACTGAGCTTGGCTCTCTTACTCTGGCAAAAGCAAGGATGTGAGGGGATAAAACTGGTTTCAAAAATTACGCCTAAGAGGGGAATCTTCAGGCATGGAAAGGCAAGAATTATTTAAACTAATGGCCAGTGCTGGCACAGAAACAAAGCTGCATAAACTGTTCATGAATAAATTCAGGTGAGGAGTGAAAAGAAGGTGTCTAATTATTAGAGAACTGAGGTTGTGTATCCAATATCAGGAAACAGAAAAAAAATCTAACTAGTTTTTGATCATGCTGTGAAGTTGCAAGTTGCAAGACATACTGCTTCTGCTAGAAGACAACTGCATCTGATGACCCACAAGCTCTCTTCTAGTCCCGTTGCTCTAAATGTGAACAATCACCATGGGTAAATAAAAGCACGCGCTAACATTTCCCATCAATGCCAGCATCTCCCAGTGCTATAGGGAGATGTGGTGACCAACCTCATTGACCTGGAGAAATAAGTACTCTTAAGCAAGGGATTCACATCCCTTTAGTTTAATCATTGATGGAGAGACACAGCCCCTTTCTCCTGCTGCAGGTGGTTCAGTCCACCTGTCTGCAGGGTCTTCCATTAGGAGGAGGTGAATTGCCTTCTGCAGGGGCCTCTGCCTCTCTGGAGAGGACAAGAGAGATGTTCGAACTAAGCTCTATGATTTTCGAAAGCAGGGGAACTAATTCCTCTCCTGAGTGAGCAGGCTTCATGTTCTGTAGTCTGCTGTCTTCTCTGTGAGGTTTCCCATTAAATTGTGACCATATCTAATTGTAGTTGGCCCATGAAACTTGAGGAGATCCCAACACTTTAGGTACGTATCTGCAAGGAACAGTTATTCTACAGTAAATTGAACTCTTGCCTCACTTAGTCTTAGTGCCTTTATTTTAATTAATTTTAAAAGCCAAGCTTTAAATATGGTAATTGGTAATTGGTAACATATAGTTTGTTTTTAAAATAAAAATTTTCTAGTTAAATGAGTCATATATTCATTTTGACATACATAAAATTTACATCAATACCAAATGGAATCATATAAAAACAGAGCTAAAAGTTAAGGCAATTATTCTTTTCAAATCAAACCCACAATGGGACCAGAAATTTTCCGAGACATTTTTCCTGCCATTAGTGCACATTACTAGAAGCAATTGCTTTTCCCTGAAGCCTCCAAAAAGCAAAAGAAATGATCAAACAGCTTGTAAATTGACCCATTATTTTTCTTCAGTGTTACTGCCAAAAGCGTTTATAAAAATACAGTCACTTTCATTGCTATTAAATAGAACATTAAACAAATCATATTTAACATTAAAGCAAACATGAGAAAATTCACACAGTGTTTGTATTTCAACTTGAAGAGAAAAAAACCCATATTTTATTTGCTTACCTCTTCAAATTTTAGTGCAATCATAGAAAAAGCTTTAAAAATTGCATCTGTTGGGCCTGTTATTGTCACAATTCTCTCTGGACAGGAGCCTTCTGAAATATTGATTCGAGCACCACTCTGTCAAAAAGAACAAATATTTTTCAAATTTATACTTCCCAGGAAGCAAATGAAGAAGGATAAGAGGTATAGTTTGGGAAGGAATATCTTGAGGCATCTAATTCCCTCCTCTACAACGGCAGCCCGATCATCATATAATTTCAGCATAAACTGATCACACTCCAAAAATTCATCTAACTGTGGGAAGCCAGATTCTGTCTGGGTAAATACTCATACAGCCTTCTTTGCAGTATGCAAATAGTATGTCTGTAACTCAAAGTTGCAAATAATTGCATAATCAAGCCTTTTCCCTTCCCTCTTAAGTAGGACCAGAGCTGCAGAATTTCAGGCAAGGTTATTGTCTCCAGGGAGCATCAACATCTCCCAGGAAAGATGCACCTCTCTGGTTTGGAGGCCCAAAGGCAGGGCTTGATCTGTCTAGCTGGAGCATTGCTTTGCACTATGGAGAAGGTTCCTTATGGATGTGTCTCATGTGAAGGCAGTCAATTAATATGCACTGAATAACTCTTTAAAGGAGTAGCAGTAGGACAGGCGACAGTAATGGTGTTATCTCCTTAAGGCAAGGAGCCTGTTGGAAGGAGTCAGAAAACTAAGTCTTGAAGACAAGCCAGGATGGCTCTCAGGTATACTTTATGCCCTTTATGCCACCGTGGCAGTGCAGAGCAAACCCCTAAACCAGATGTAAATATATTTATTAGGATCTTGGTGTAGATAATGATCAAATCCAGTTCAGGTAAGACCCACCCTACACTTTCCCTGAGGTTTCAGACATGGAAATGTGTGAATGCAGCCTAACAAGTCACTGAAGCCTCAACTCATCCACAGGCACTGACCTTCTCCAGGATCTGTGCCTGTAGTAAACATGAGATAATTTGGGTTAATTTGGCCCTTTGCCTTCAGGGTTACCACGAATCAGCCGATGTGCTGTGTGTTTGAACCCCTGTTCACATGCATACTGCTGCTCAACAGTAAGATACCACATTTCCCTGTATGACAGCAACCAAACACAACAAGAAAAGAAACCCAACACTACTTATACAGAAAAGTCTTGCTGCCACGGACTCAGCTGGCAGACATACTCAGCGTTCCTAGATAAGAAAGGGCAGCAGGCACTTCTTCTGACAGATCAACCTGAGTGGGACTTGCCGTCATCAAACACCAACACGGGATCAGGGAGATTGGGGCCCAGGGCTCGTTCATGCTGGTGGCAACGTCCAGCTGCCACCACCACACACGAACCCGGGGCCATAGGACTCAGCCCGGCAGGGAGCAGGCCAGGGGCTGTGCCGGGCCGAGCTGCTTGCGGCACAGCCGCCTTGCCACAAAGCATGGCTCTTCCTTTGAAACCAGAGCCACGGGAGCTTGCCTGAAAGATCGCTCCACCGTGGATCGGCAGCAGCCCAGATGTTACTCGTCTAATAGACGACTGGTCAAAGCAGAGCTACGACAATTAAAATGTTACGTGGCGGCCTCCGTATTTGTGTAGGAAGTTATCAACTGCAGGGCACAGAACGGAGGTTTTTGTACTTTTCTTTAGGTCCAAAGTTGCCTCTGACATTTCCCCAATGACAGAACAAGACAGAGTTGCATTTCACTCCATAAAGGTGACATGTTACATCTGTCAGGAAAGTAAAAAATAAAGTTGCATTTTGCTTTTAAAGAAGTACTGAAGAAGGTAGTCATTTAAAGGAGGACCAAGTTATCATGTGGAGAGAAAGCCTCTTAGTCCTGTGCTGATAAAAAGATGCATATAATTCTTTTATTTTAGAAATTTAACCAAACAAATAAAGCCTCTTGTGACCATATGTACATGACAGTAGGTTTTCAGGAGTGGAAGAAGAACATTTGATATTTATCTTGAAAAACTAACCAGGGATCATAACTCTTCTTTAAGATGTCTAACTCAGAAGTCAGGAGCACTTTCCAATGATCGCTTCCCTTTTGTGCATGTAATTTATATCCAAAGATATCTGCCCATGATCATAATGAATAATTAAACTAAAATGTGTTTAATCAACCAGCAGGATTACCTAGTATATTGGAAACATTTTTTCTTCTTCTTTTTTTAAGTCTTAGCAAATGTACTTATGTGTGAAAACATAGGTGAAAGCTTTTATCATCAAAAAAGGAGCTCGGAACTCAGTCAGCCTGACAACGAACTCCCTATTATGTATGTTTAAAGATGGATCTCAGCAATTTACTTTGCTACAAATACTTTGATATTTCCCTGCCACAGACCTTCTATCAGTGTATAAAACAACAAAGCAGCTGACATACTAATGTATTGCAGAGTTACCAGAACCAAACTGACTTTTCTTGAGGCATCCTCTATACACTTTGCACTCCTAAAATTTTAAACAGTAGGATTTGTCTTTTGACTTATGCTTTTAGCACTTGCTTCAAAGAAGCAGAATTTCATGGATCTCCAGGTAAGATGTGCTGCCTTGCGGGACAAACGTGGGCCTGTAACCTCCACCTGGACCCAACCCTCTGAAGACAGCGGAGCTTGCCCTGCGGCAGGGAAAGAAGCCTACAGACACCGGGGAGACTGAGGTTTATGCAGTGCCCTGTTTTAATTAGCCATTTTGTGCTTACAACCTTTTCAAAGGCTGTGAATGGTGGGTGTGCAGGTCTACCCTGTCCACGTCCTACCCACAGCTGCAAAATGCCGAAAAGTTAAGGCTTTACCAAGGCATGGCAAAGGGATACTTTGGCTTGTGCAAGTCTGGCTCCAGCTCTGCTGAAGCTTGTGTCTACCCTCAAACTTTAGGCAGCATCAGCCTAATGCTTGGTTTCAGATTTTGGAAACTTGCTACCAGGAGGTCAAGCCACATGCAGGACTGATGTTGGTATGCTAAAGACAGTGGTTTTGATGCACAGAACCGTGCCGGCGAAGCTGTTCCTGAGATAAGACAGCAGCAGGCATATTGCTATGGGAATAAAAGACTCCAGGCTGCTGTGGCGATAAGGAGGTTACAGTAACAACAATGTTTAATTTAGGCCAGCACATTTATTGACCATCGCTTGCAAAGAATGGTGATGTTAAATTCACTGCCCACTTGATGGCACTGTCGATCTGCACACGTTGGATTTCCTTGTTCTCTGAGCTGGAAAGAAAGGCAAGTAAAGACATCAAAGGTTGTCTTACCTCCTCCCTCATCTTCTTAACTGTCTCACCTTTCTGTTAAAGAAACAGAAAAAAAGTTAGCCTGGGCTGATGAAGTGAACTGATATACAATATTTTGACATGAAAATAAAGAGAGAAAGTAATTTCCTGACCTTTCCGATAATGCTTCCAACCTCCTGAAACAGAAAAAAAAAAAAGACACTGTGAATGATATGATTCGCTACAGAATAAAGAGAGAAAGTAATTTCCTGACCTTTCCGATAATGCTTCCAACCTCCTGAAACAGAAAAAAAAAAGACACTGTGAATGATACGATTTGCTACAGAAGAACATTTACTCTGCTCCTAAGCTATTTCACTATCTCTTATTTCAAACCTGCATGTGAAGCGTGGCCCCTTCCATTGTTGCTGTACACAAATATCCTATGTTACACACAAAGGGATGAACTAAAAATGCAGCTTTGCAGCTTACTGATTGTGGAAGAAAAATACCTTTAACAGAAACTGATCTTGCGGTTACAGATCAATCCTGCTACTATAAACACAGATAAACTCCTATCAGGGAATGAAAAGTTAAAAAATAATAGAACTGCACAACCTGCTAGAGAAAATGTGATATAATACGAACACCAAAATAATTGCTGATCTCTCTGAGGGGAGGCATTTACCCTTTTTACACCATGTAATAGCTAGAGCTGAATTTCCATGCTACCAAGTGTTATTGTGTAAACACCTGGTGGCCTGTCTTAATCTCCCTGTTAAGCACTTACAGAACAAAAATTGCTAATCACTTTTTAGGGATTTGGGAATTGCTACTGGGTTTCCACAATCTTCCATGAAGGGACAGAAAATACTGAGAAATGTGACTGTGAACATACAATAGGGGAACAATTTAGCAGTTTTGGCAACATCTCAAGGGTTAAAAGCTTGGTGAATAAAACCAACAGGTAGCAAAAATGAAGCTAACAACTCTAAAATGAATAGTCTGAGCACGTTACACAAATCCTGCAAGTGTGACATCAGACTGGAAATCATCTGATGGAGAGGAGACCAGCTAAAGGAAAACAAAGTCCTCTCCTGTGCTTGGATTCTGAAATCTACTGCAACAGTTAAAAACTGTCTCACATAGCTGATCCATTACTGACATACGGTATACGGTTCTCCCCGCCCAATCTATATACTTGAAGTCTGACCCATCCTGAAACACAGTCCAAAGAGTAAGATTTAAGAAATTGTCCTCCATTGCTCCGTCCAATGATGGACTCGTGATAAAGTGGCACTAACTTCACTCTGCAGCAGAAAACTACCTGCAGTGACCTTGAGAGAGATATTTCACACCAGCTATTTATAAGCTCATAATATGAAGCTGCTTGTGCTTGCAAGTCCTCATGTCCTGCTCGCAAGATGTAAAGACTTTTCAGTGAGAAGACCTATCTCAATGAAGAACTTTAGCACATGGTTCCTCCGTGCTCTCTGCAAGTCTGCACATAACACCAGGCTGGGGTGAACAGCCAATACACTGCTGGACAAGGCTGCTATTTGGAGTCACCTAGAGAGGCTGGGGAAATGGGTTGAGAGAGACCTCAGGGAGTAGAACAAAGTCAAATGAAAAATCCCATGTCTGGGGTGGAACAAGCCCATGCAGCAGGACAAGCTGGGTAAAAACTTGCTACGTACAAACTGGCTTTCCAGAAAAAGTCCTGAGGGTCTCAGTGCACAAATCCAACATGAGCACGTAAGTCATCCCTGATCAAACAAATGCTGGGCTGTATTAGCAAGAGTGTAGCCAGCAGGCTGGGAGAAATGATACTTGCCTTCTCCTTGTATTCGTGAGACCATGCCTGGAGGACTGTGTCCTGTTTTGGGCTCCTAGTACATGATAGACAAGGACACACTGAAGTGAATCCAACCTAGGGCCACCAAGATGGTCAGGGGACCAGAGCACAGGACACATGAGGAGAGGCTGAGAGAACTGCATTTGTTTGGTCTTAGGAAGAGAAGACTTGGAGAAGATCTTATTGGGGTGTGCAATAAGGAAAGCAAGTTGCAACACCAATTCCTAGTCAATATGAGGAAAAATTTTTTTCTCATGGGAACGACTTGAGCATAGGAACAGGCACCCAGAGAAGCTGTGGAGTCTTCATCCTTGAAGGTGACCAAACACAGCCTGGGCAAGGCCCTGAGGAACCTGCTCCAATGGAACCTGCTTGATTCAGGAGGTCAAATTGGAGACCTTTGGCCGTCCCTTCCAACCTCCATGGGTCTGTGATTCTTCAAGCATGGCCTTATACCTACCGAAGTCAATGCCTAACTAGCCACAAAGTTCTCAACCCAGTGAGGCCCCTTCTCAGGTTTGTTTTCAAACTTTATTTTTTCTGTTTCCCATTTCCCTCTTTTAATTTCCTTTCCTACTTCTCTTCCAAGATGGGATTCTGCTCTCTTGCACCTACTGACCAGATAACAGATACAGTCCAGACAAGCTTTGCAAATCTTTCAGAAGTATCTGCTTTGCAAACCTATAGTTCTGCTGGCTGACCTACAGTAGATCTTTACACGTCACACAGCTATGCGACCATTCTTGCTAAATCTTCCTGTGTCCCTCTGGGACTGTGAGACATCCAAACAACTGCATATACAATGCAAAGAAGCAGCTCTGTGAGAAGAGGAATGAATGAAGTGGACTCGCTGCAGTTTTGTGTCTTGTGACCAAATTATCCAGTGGCTCTTAATATGTGCGTTGAGGTCACACCTTTTCCTGTGGTTGACACAGCCGCATCAACATGTGGTGCAGGCTCTCTAATGGGGTGCAGCTTTTTTGTTAGCAGTGACACAAATTTGGGACACCCATTCCACAAAATTTTTAAGATCTATTACTATTTTTTTATATTATCACTGTAACTCTGTCAACCTGCCTGTACAGTTGAATGGGGTTAAACAATAAAGGGAGTAACACTCTCAATGATGATAAGCCTTGGGAACTCGTCATGCTTAGTAGTTCCTATCTGCCCACTCAGCACATTCAGCAGTTTTACTTTGAAAACCTTTCCCATCCTTGTCAGGCCCAGCTTTCAGAAATAATTTCTTTTGTAAAACAGATTCTTACGAGGTAAAAGGACTCTTTACTATGAGTGAGTGTACTGTGTTTCAATTGCTATGGGCAAGCAATCGTATTTCAGTCCATGGTATAATTTCAGTTTTTGTTTATCTGAGGTTTCATTAGAAGCTGTAGGTCTGGTCTTGAACCTGCAAGGCTCTGCCAGTATACACTTAGTATGAAATCTGTCCCAATCCATTTGATCATCCGAGGTCTTAACGACAGATGCTGTTCTTTCAGAAATGTATGGATGAATCATGACTAATAAATACAAAGATACCTTCCTTGGAAACAGGAAAAGATACTTTTGTTTTGGAAACAGAAAAGCAATATACTGTTTGTAGCCCTCGTGAAAAAAGATGGTCCATTTCAAACAAGGAAATTGGGAGTATTTAAACAAGCAGAGTAGACCATAAAATATTAGGATTCTCAAGCCGCTTGTTCCACTGAAGTCTGTGGGAGTTTTGCTATTGGTTTCCGTGGGGACAGGAATTCTACCTGACTGATCATCACCTTGTTGTTACCAAGGAGTACAAGCTGCCGAAGAACGAAACGAATGAGCAGTATGAGTCCCACTGAGAAAAAATATTTCAATGAGACTGGGGACCAGTTCCTATGAACATGCTAGCAAATGTCACTGTAGTGCTATGGAGTACTTCAGACCTTCCCCCCCTCAAAGGGTGAATTTAAAGTTTGTTCTATAAGAAGGCAGCTTCAAAACATCCAAGTAAACACCACCTCTCCCCCTGCACTGGGAGCTGGGATTCTGCTTGGAAATGTGAGGGAAGGGCGCACGGGGAGAGAGAAACGTTAACTTCATATGAATATTCCTAATTTTTCCAGAATTTTTGATCCATACAAATTACTAAAAAAAATAAAAATCTAGAATGGTTCTAAACGGGTAACTCCAGACTTTTTTGGGGCCTTAGCTGTTTCTAGGAAAGTTCCCATAAGTACTGGTGACAACAGATCATGTCTTTAATTACGATGAGAAACCTTCTTCAGCCACAGATTAAATCAGAAGATTCGTTACACTTCATTCTCCAAACTGCCAAAGCTACTTCATCAAACATTTAATGTTTCTTTATACAGTCCAATATTTGTTTCATATAGATTCTTATATCACCCTAAATTATGTTCGGTGCGTAATGAGATACCTATTACTCAATATTTCTACTCAATATACTCAATATTTCTAGCCAAGGTTACTTTGAGGGTTTTATCTTCTTCAGAACATGTTTCTAAATCTGCCAGACACCAAACTGTGCTGTAGTTAACTGCGTAAGACTGAAGGGATGGGATGTCTGTCACCCACAGCAGTTCATTAAAAGTTCGGAGTCTAGTGTAGGCCAGGCACACAGCCTCTTCTGCAGTCCAGGGAGAGAGATAATGGAGGGCGTTTTGTTCCTAGAAGAGGAGGGAAGAAGTGTACTCCCGAGGGTTTCATCTTTCTCCATCTGCAGCAGAAGAAGACTAGACTGACACTAACATACCTGAAGTCTGGTAAGAGGAATCCTACAGTTGATGTCAAATTCAGCCTCAGTGCAAGTCAGACAGGAGTTTGATTTAGCTGTCCTAGCAAATAATTGCCTACTAGAATATACTAATAACCCTTGAACTATTTGCTGTTTTCCAGTGCTCAGGAATATAAGCTAAAGGTAAGTATTTATGATCAATTTCAGATTTATTGACTAACCATCTACGCGTGAACACAGTGGGAAAATATGCTATGTGATAAAAATTACTGGGTTTCATATAATCAGATTTCAACAGCTGATCGAAAAGCAGTGCACAAAAAAAAGAAGTTATAAATGGGGAAACTAAAGCTCAGAGGGAGAAAGACAGGGCCAAGGCAACCCAGCAGATTGATGCCAGAACTAAAAGTACCACCCAAGCTTCTTGGCCTCAACGTATGAACACCCACCTGTCAGAAGTAGATATGCCACAGCAGCCATGCTGGATGAATAAGATGCCTCCGAAAAGCTGCAAGTGTGTGCACCTACATCCACTGATACATATTGCGTTGGATAGAAGGTTGGACTTGATGATCTTTGAGGTCTCTTCCAACCATAATGGGTCTATGATTCTATGATTCTATATGCACACACACATTTATGTATTTGTGTATGAAGTCAATATATACATATCGGCACTAAATAGATAGATACTAACTTTCCTTCAAGA